CAATAATGTAATGAAAACAAAAACAGAAAAAATAAATTTTGTTATTATATTAATTTTTTAAAAGCAATAACAGTATCTATGATTGACAATTACTGTAATATTGTAACACAATAACAATAAATACTGTACTGTAATTCATCTTTATAGTACAATAATAATATTTAAAACAATGTTACTGTTATGTTGTAATACAAAAATGTTATTTTAATGTTGTAACACAACAATGTTATTTTAATGTTGTAACACAACAATGTTATTTTAATGTTGTAACACAACAATGTTAATTTAATGTTGTAAAACAACAATGTTATTTTAATGTTGTAACACAAATGTTATTGTTATGTTGCAATGCAACAATGTTATTTTAATGTTGTAACACAACAATGTTATTTTAATGCTGTAACACAACAATGTTATTTTAATGTTGTAATACAACAATGTTATTTTAATGTTGTAACACAAATGTTATTGTTATGTTGTAATACAACAATGTTATTTTAATGTTGTAACACAACATTAAAATAACATTGTAATACAACAATGTTATTTTAATGTTGTAACACAACAATGTTATTTTAATGTTGTAACACAACAATGTTATTTTAATGTTCTAACACAACAATGTTATTTAAATGTTGTAACACAACAATGTTGTATTACAACAATGTTGTAATACAACAATGTTATTTTAATGTTGTAACACAAATGTTATTGTAATGTTGCAATACAACAATTTTATTTTAATGTTGTAACACAACATTAAAATAACATTGTAATACAACAATGTTATTTTAATGTTGTAACACAACAATGTTATTTAAATGTTGTAACACAACAATGTTATTTTAATGTCGTAATACAACAATGTTATTTTAATGTTGTAACACAAATGTTATTGTTATGTTGTAATTTATTAATAGTAAATGTTGTATTGTAACTATAAAAAAAAAATGCTGAAAATTAAAAAATATTTTACTAGTTTTTATTAGTTTTATAAATATTAAATATACTGAATAAAATAATTTATTAATGTTGTTTTGCATATTAGTA